AGCAGTAGCCTTGTTAACAAGTTGCAAAGAAAAATATTCTATGAACTTGCTTTGTGTTATTAGCTAACTCTTGAATATGGTAAACTATATGATGTCATTGGAAAGTGACTACATTATTTATTGTTTTCAAGCAAGTCTTTTTTTTTTTTTTTGGTACCTAGGATCGAACTTGGGTCCTTGCGCTTGCGCAGCAGGTGGCAAAACCACTGAACTAAATCCCCGGCCCTCAAGCAAGTATTTTTAATGTAGTCTTTCCTTAGGATCTCAGCAATTGCCCATGCTTATTTACTCTGGAGTTTGCTTTGTTTTTCAAATGCTTATTTAGAATTTAAATTGAAATTCAAATTATTATGTAGTTTCATTATTTTGTGTTTAAATTATTTCATTTACACAAATTAAAATATTTTAAAATCTAAAATTTAAAATTTAGTAAGGCTGCAAAATTAAAACAAAACAGAATAAAGCTCAGGCAATTCCTGGGACATTAGTGAAAGACTGCATTAAAGAGCTTTGCATTCTGCATGAGTCTGTACATCTCCACAAATAATATGCTGCAGTCTTAGCACTACCATCCGTTATGTTACAAAATGAAACCCGATATATGAGAGATTAGACTTAAACATTTAGTATGAACTTTTTGGCCTTTATTCCTTGGCAAACAATTCCTTTTGCTTACCACCAATTTAGTATTTAGCAAGAGCTGTTTTCTCTTTTTCTTCCTTTTAACTTTCTATTATGGAAAATTTCAAACATACAACAGTAGAGATACAAATATAATGGACCCATTGTACCCATCAAAAACGTCAATGCTTATCAATGTGTCCAATTTTATTTCATTTCTACCCTGTCCTTACACTTTTCTTTTCAATTCTTCTGTAACAAATACTAGACATCATATAATTATATATATTTGTTTTATCATTTGTTTTGAGATAGGGTCTCCCTATATAGTCCAAGCCAGCCTAGAGGTCACTAGGTATCCCAGGCTGCCTATAATTGTTTTCGGGTTGGGTTTATTTCTTTTTGAGACAGGATCTCTCTATATAGCTCAGGCTGGCCTTAAAGGCACTGTATAGCCCAGAGCCCAGGCTGGCTTTGAATCTGTGGCAATCATCCTGCCTCAGCCTTCTAAGAGCTGGAATTACATGTGTGCACAACCACATCTGATTCCCATGCCCAGCTTTGTCTTTAAATATTTTGGTATGTATCTTCTATACCTAACTACAATAACTAATACCTACAATAACTATAATACCTAAAAAGAAATGAACAGTATTGAAAACAACTTTCCACAATCCATTTATGGCAATTAGCTGATATGTTTAAGTCTCTTTTTAAAACTTTTTATTGTGAAATCATTTCAAACTTAGAGAAGAGCCGTAAGAATGCTTTTACCCAGATTTATTAATTTGTAACTCTGTGTGTGTGTGTGTGTGTGTGTGTGTGTGTGTGTGTGTGTGTGTG